TGTGCGCTGACCCCCTGCGCCTGTGTTGTCCGCAGCAGCAGCTCCAGGCTCACCAGCTGTCCCAGCTGCAGGGGCTGGCCCTGCCCATGACCCCTCTGCCCCTGGGCCTCACGCCCCCCACCCTGCCGGCCGTCACCTCCAGCTCCGGCCTCTTCTCGCTGTCCAGCATCCTGGCCTCGCAGGCCCACCTGGCCAAGGAGGAGAAGGCGGCGCGCGAGGGCAGCGACAGCCACCGGGACGAAGAGGGGGACAAGTCCGACTAGCGCCTCTCCAGACCCCTCCCTGCTTCTGCGCCAGCCCTGCCTCCATCGCCTGATCCCCCTCGCACCCCTTCCTCGCGCCCTTCCCCTCTGAGGCTCCACTCGGCCCATCTCAGTTTCTGGACACGCCCCTGACCCCTGACCCCTGACCCCTGACCCCTGCGTGCACCCCGCGCGCATCTCTCCAGTCTCTTGTTGCTTCACCCTCGTTTATTCCTTTAGCCGGCCCCCCCAGTCCCCCCTGAGCCCCCCCACCCCCCGGCTCACAGTACAGTCCGGCCAGAGCAGCGCACTTGCGTGGCCAGTCCAGACCGGGGCGCCGCAGGTGCTGTGGAGAAGCTGGGGGGAGGGGGAGTGCACCCCCTGTCCCGCCTCTGTCCGTAAACTGTTTTTAATTGTTATAATTATCGTTGCTGTAAAGAAGCTGTTCTGGTGAGAAATTGACTTGACAGGAGACCAGTTTCCTCCCAGACCCAGAGAAAGAGGGGGCGCGCAGTGCTCTGCGGGGGCTAGTGGTCGAGCCAGCAGAGTGTTTCTGTGGGAGAAGGGCACCCGGCTGGTCCTGCTCCGGTCCCCGGTTCGAGCCCTCCTGCGGCCGGGATGGCAGACAAGTCCCTGGCGCTGCCCCTGCTGTGCTCTGAGGAAACGCCCCCCCTCGTGCGCCCCAGCACAGCAGCAGCGGGGTGAGCTCTGGGGACCAGTGTAGCGCAGTGGGGTCTGGGGGAGGACTGGGAGGGACGAAGCTTCAGAGGTCCTCGGCGCCCAACTTTAGTCAAGGCCACCCTGGGGCAGGTTGAACCCCCCTTTTGCCGGGGGGAGGGGTGTGACGGACCCTCCTCCGGCCCTTAAGCAGTGTGGCCTTGAAAGATGGTTGTTTGGGTTCCCCCCTCCCTGCAGGAGAGACCTGTCTTTGTCACACAGAGAAGGCAACAGGCTCAGGCCTCCTGGACAGCAGGGGGCAGTAAGCACTGTGCTGGGTGGCTGTCAGCTGGACCCTCTCTCTAGTCCAGGGAGCAGGTCGTGTCCCACCCCCCTCCCTGAAACGCCCTGTCAGTGTAGGTGCCTGCCTTCACAAGACCTTGAAATTATGTTCTGAGTTGCACCTCTTTTTAAAGAAAGGACCTGACAAGCTTAAAGCACATTTAAACAGAACAATGAAGCGTTGAGGTTTGGAAAGGAGCCTGAGGTGCCAGTGCTCTTCCGGACGAGTTCAGCGAGGCTGTGAGATCAGGTGTACCCTGTATTTTTACGTAATTAGGGGCAGGAAACCTTTTTCTTTTTGGATGCCGCCCATGTTGAATCTAGCACAGAACACGAAGCACAAAGGAGAGCAGACACTAACACAGCAGTGTGCTGATGGTCCGGTGTGCTGTGGGGTCAGGGCAGAAGGGTGGGGCTTGTGTTAGAGTGGCATGGCTGGCGGTCGTACCCCAAGACTTTCAGAGGGTCTGTTTTAGCCACATGCTGACGAGAAGTTGTGTAAATGCAGAGCCCAGGAGTGAGGTCCACTAACCTCGCTCTCAGTCATGGTCCCGTCCTGGTCCTGTGAGGGGCTTGATCTGCCCAAAAGGACAGGGGGCTCCAGTGCCTTGGGTTCGAAGTGGGGTCAGAGGTCAGCTACTCCAGGCCTGCCTGCAGACACAGGGTCCCCTGGCCCACTGGCTTGAGTGCCGTGACAAAACCACATGAGTTTTTCCTTCTGTTTCCACCTGTTTTCCTGCTCTGGGACTCATCCCAGCTCCTCCCATGATTCTCCAAGTTTGGGGCCCTGGCTGCAGGACCCCAACTTGAGGTGCAGAGGATGGAGAAGGGGGACCCCTAATCCTCAACCCCCCCTCTATAAGCACAGAGCAGGTGTGCCCGAGTCATACCTGCACATGACGTCTTGTTGGCGGGTCAAGTGTAGGTCTGGACTGAGGGGGTGATGAGTCGCTACGTTTCTGGGCACCCCTCATCCAGTCATCCAGTTCACTTGGATGAGTAGGAGCGTGAGGGACACCAGGATTGGAACCCGCTGACCCGGTTCTGGGATGTAGTGTGTTGCCTTTGTCTGTGGTCGTAGGTCTAGTCTGCGCTTTAGGAGTGTGTATGTACATGTATGTGTACACTGCCTGTGCATGTTCTTACATAGGTATGTGCGTGTGCATCTGTACAGAGGAGCACAGAAACGCTCGTTCCGGCTAGAGCTGCTCAGCGCTGTCACTAGGGGGCGATGCTGGGGTCTGCCCCTGTCCTGCAGGGTCTGCTCAGCGCTGTCACTAGGGGGCGATGCAGGGGTCTGCCCCTGTCCTGCAGTGTCTGCTCAGCGCTGTCACTAGGGGGGCGATGGTGTGTTTGCCCCCTGTCCTGCAGGGTCTGCTCAGCGCTGTCACAAGGGGGCGATGGTGGGTTTGCCCCCTGTCCTGCAGGGTCTGCTCAGCGCTGTCACTAGGGGG